TTAATCTATGTGATTATTATTCATTCATTCATATGACAGTCATTCAATATTAAAATATCATCTATCAAGGTATGGTTCAATACATTCCAGTTACAACTTAGGAGTATGTTCAATAGCAGATTCTAAGGCTAGATATTTTAAAATCAACAGTAGCAAGTTTCACTGAAAAGTTCAAATAGAATTTTCTGAACCATTGGTGATGATTTTCATTAAGTTATAAAAATTAATGAAGCTCTAGAGAACTGGAAAAAAGATAACTTTATTCCAACATTTGATAAAAAACAAATAAAAGACTGGGAGATCATAGTGTCAGATCAGCTGAACATGAGTTCTGTTGCAGTGCTGGGCCTGTTATTGAATGTATAAAAAGGAAGATGGAGAATGAAAAGAAAAAAACAACTGGATTTGCGAGAAAGCAAATTCTATGTGGCAAAATAGTCAGTATCAAGATTATTAAGAAAAGATTAACACTGAGTGGTGATATTAAGTAGATTATAAAATAAGAACGAGAAGTACAATTATCAATTCAGACTAGCAAAAAGATGAAGCACAATCATGAGTGAAATTCATCTCAACTGGCTTTGGGACATGTTTTTCTAGATTCTTCAGCATATTAAATTTTCAAATAAATTTTAAATGATTTTTTTAAAAGAAACACTGGTTAAATTGGGAATGAGTTTCTTATGAGTCCACACAACTTCATTATGGGCAAAAAGGAGAGCACACCTCACATACGGATCTGAGAGAATTTGCTGTTTCTCTGATTAGTGTTTCAACAGCCTTTCAAAGTACAACAGTTCTTTTTCGTGTAATGGCAGTGACACTAATGCTTATGGCCCAAATTATCTATGATTGCTAATTCCTGTTAATATTCCAACTAAAACTGTCATACAGCAACTTCCTAGTGTCTGTGCTTTTCTCTGGTGCTATGCTCATGCCTCCTGTGCGTTGCCCAGATGAATCATCAGTCCTGAGCTCTCCACTGGCAGGAGTATGATGCTGCTGGTGGAGCTTTCTTTCATGATGGTCTTGGGCCCTCTCAGGGTTAATTTTATTTGTTTCAATCCTGTATTTGCTAATGGGGTACACTCTTACCTACCCTCTGGGTCCTTGGGCTTAATTACACCATGATTACTTCATTTTTTTTTTAGTCCTCCACATAATATTTTAAAGGGTGAGCGTGATGCAATTGCACAAAGCTAAAAAATACCCCCAAATCCCATAACTAAAAAAAAAATTACAATATCACTAAACCAAATTCAAAATCACAGGATATTCAAGAAACTCCTGACATCTGAGTATCTGAGTAATTTCCCATTGAACACAGAACAACTTAGGCAATGGTCAAATGATTCTCATTCAAGTTTCTTAATTTTTTTTTTTCAAATAGAGCTAAAATACATTCAAGACCAAAAAAGACCTGACAAATTCTGAAGTCTATTATGAGTAGTTATGGCCGTAAAGCCTGAGGTGTATCACTAACACTTGGCAACACAAAGTTGGTTGGGCTACAGGTTTAATCTGTTCTACCTGGTTTTTTACTGACTTCAGTGGTGAATCTATAATCTATGAAATGGATTAATTTGAAATATGTGTTAATGAGAAGCAGTTTTAGTGAGTCTCAGATATCTTCTGCTGGCACTTATCCTTTTGATCTCTCCCATATAACCTTCACAGGCAATGCCGTAATGAGTTCATTCCTTATAATTCATTTATACGTCTTGAAGACTTTATTCCTCCAGCTCATTTTTCTGATATGATAAATGATTAGGGGATTTTGCAGTATATCTGGCACTGTGTACTACTTTGTAGTTAAGGATAATAACCTGAATTTCCCACCTATATGTATTGCCCTATTTGATACATTTTGAACAAAGATACTATGTGTGTAATACTGGGTAGATTAATTTCTTTTCCATAATTATTCTTTTCCATAATTTTTGAGTGCTTTTTGTTTGCTAGGCTGTAAACTGTACCTGAGACATTCCCCTTGACTCCAATAGGACAATGTATGCAAGATACACTTGATTGGACTATAAATCTTTAGTAGAGAGAGTTTGATGCTTCTGGATTATTTACACTACCCATAAACAGGAGGAAAACATGTGAGATCATTGAACATTAACAGCAACTGGCAACAAGCTAATACTTTCCCACAGGATTTTTCAAGTCATAATAAGTTCATAATATTATTAGGTTTTTCAGCTTTTGCTTGGATTTAGTTATCTATCTATTCCTGTATATTGTGGGCTGATACTTAGAGTAATCCAGACTCATCAGTTTTGGATCCCCTCTGGACTGTGAAAGGCATTCTTGCTAAATACTATGTCCATAGTTCAAGGATGAATTTTAACCTGTCTGGTTATAATTTACTGAGTTCTATATCTTATCCTGTCTAAGTGTGAATTAATTTATAATATGTAATGTAGGCTGGTGATTAATACTGAATTATAAGACTTCACAACTTGTTGGCCTACTACTAATACTGGGGTTTTAATTTATTAGACTATCTTTGTGTTAAGTACTATAGATGCTTCAAAAACTAATACTCAGAATTTAGACCATGCATTTTCTCATTTAGCAGTTTGTATAGAACATTTATCTGTGTGAAGAAAGGCTAAGCTTTAAAAAATTCAGTTGCTTTTATAATAACATGATTCCATAGAAATTTGTCTTAAATTATTTTTCTAAGGTACCTGTGGTAGAAAGACACTTCGCCAAAACTATTAAGGATGAGAATTGCAGGACTTGTTTAAAATCCAGTCCAAATTCTATTTCATTAAGTGCAATATTTCCATTAAATTTGATTAATGTTCAGGAATAAAACCCAATATTTCTTTTTTGTTCTCTTTGCCAGTTGTTCTAGTAAACAAGGCATGTGTATCTTTTTGTGTCCTCTTTTAAAGCCAGTAATCCACTGGGCTGATTGCTACATTATAGTATCTTTATAATTTAGAACTACCTGTGGCTCTCAGGAACAGAAATGTTAAAGGAAGTGTATGAAAGATTGCAAATATTTTAAAGCAATGACCTGATAGTTATTTTACATCACTTTGTGATCACTTTGTTACATACACTATGATGAACAAAAAATGTATATATGTAATGGTATGAAGAATCAGATGAATAAATACAATACATAAAACAAAAAAGGGCTCATCTACTTTTTTTTCCTAGCCTTGTATTTTGTTCCTTCTTAGCAAAACCAGGAAGAGAGAGGTATTACTGTTCTTTCAAAAAATTAATGGGTTAATATATTGTCAGCCCTGATTTTTGAATTAGGTGTGTACAAGTCATAATTTTAAGTGTAGCCAAAGAAAAATAAAGTTGACATGTCAGCCACGGTAAATGCTAGACATTATTCACAGTAGTGCTGCAGAAGGTATCAGGATATTGTAAGTGGTTACTATGAAGGTCTCATAAAGGATGGTGATAACAGGCACTGAGCCTGCAGATTAAAAAAATCATTTAATATCAATAAAAAGAGCTTATCTGGGTCATCTTGGTTATATTTAAAATGTCTTTTATATCTGTTGGATTTATACTGATTGAAAACTCACTGCTTCGTTTATGTGGCTGAATAATTAAGACTGATGATGTCAGTCTGGGCCCATAGACTTAAAAGACAGAGAAACACATTTTTAAATCTATGATACGCTTGCAGTATTGAACCAGCATAACTTGATTTGTCACTGAAATCTCTGAAAGTGTTGTAAATGACATAGATTGCCATAAGGTGTTCACAGGAGCTGTTCAATATTGAAAGTAAACATAGGTCTACTTTGCTATCTGTCATTCTTCAAGCTGTCTGAGAGCAAAACAAATCTCTGGAATAGCTTTGGTGGTTATAAAGTAGGAAACATGCCAGTAGAATAAACCTGATTAACAAATTTTGTAAGAAATCCTGAAATGACAATTAAACAGCATGATGCAGAATCCTAAACGCAAGTGGCCAGTATTATCATATGCTGTTTAGAAAAGCACAAATAGTCAATAAATCATGCAGTTGATTATTGCACTCATTCATCTGTGGGTTGCTGGGGTACTAGCAATGTAATTCAATCTTGAAGGTTTGTTATTGTTTAGACCACATTGTAAAATCTATTGATTATCCATGTGCAGCATGATTTATTCTTTCATCTAATATTTGTGCTTTTGGTAATAGGATACTGCAGCCATGGCTTGTAACAGACATTTTAGATCATATACTTTTATGGTTTTCATCTAGGAAAAAGTAATAATAAAAAATTGAGAAGGGTCATAAAAACCTTATTCATGTCATTCTAAAGAGATTATTATAACATCATTATTTTACTAACATTACCTACTTTAACAAATTTCATCTAAAGCACTGGCAAAATTTGTGTAAAAGACTGAATCTACAGTTCCAAAAATAGCCATTTTCCTAGCAGACTTTAACGTTCTTCACACTTTATAATTTTAAACCATCTAAGCCAAGAATCAGTTTGACTTAAATTTTTGTCTTTGTTTTCCTGGTTTCTCCAAGCTTTTATATGAAGGGTTGTTGAGTCAGTGTAACTGGGTATCAAGAACTTAGTTCAGTTGTCTAGGCACAGCCATCTAGTACCCTTTTAAATGCCAAACATCCACACAAAGCCTGCAGATGTGACACAGGACCAGCAGGATATCCATGGCCATCTGAACAGGCAGATAAATGGCATCTACCATTCAAATTGGTACTAAACACTCTTAGGCAACTAAATAAAGCCTCCATAGTAGGATTGTACTTTCTTTGCATTCCTTGTTCCCTCCAATGAAAATGAGACATAATGTACAGTAGGATATTTAGGGCTGTAATTTATCTGCCCGTGTATATGTCCCTCCATGTGAGCTAGGTGTCTAAACTGCCTTTATGGCTGGTGGAGATCTCATCCTTGGTTGAGTCACCTTAAAGTGGGCATCTTGAACAATCTGATATGCCCTGTCTGATACGTTGTGCCTCATCGGCTGCTCCAGAAGGGCACAGGTGTCCCATACACATGGGCACACCTACAAACACGGGGTGCAGTGCAGTTGTCTCAGGTACGATCTGGCATGAGGTGCTGAGGTTGAGCAAAGTCACAGAGCCCGTGGTGGTACAGGCAGCTGTGGTCTACAGAGTTACTCACCTGGCACTTCTGCGTGTCAGCTCACGGGATAAACTGAAGAGGCTTTGCCGTATTGAATAGGTCTCCACTGGTGGGAGCCTAGCTCCGTGCAGGGTCCTGACTTTAGGAGTCTGACTTCTGAAACAAATCAAACCCTTTGCTGAATCACTGTGATATTTGGCACGTATGAATGCTTATACTGAAATTCACTTTAGGAGAGATGCACAAATGGATGTGCCATAGCAATGAAAAAAAAAAAAAAAAGACACATGGGATGCACTTTCCTACTCCTTATTGTGGGCAGTCAACACTTTTTTTTCTTACTTACGTGAATGTTGGAGTAATGGAAAAGAGTGAGATAGCAAAATCAGTCTTAAGGGTGGTGTGAAATGTGAAACTAAGAGTTAATAGATAATAGCAGAGGAATAAAGGTAATGACTGATTTATAAGCATGTATCTCATTTTTATTGGAGAAAACAAAGAATGCATAGAAAGTTTAAGCGGATTAGTTTAATGTCTTCTCTGTGATCTTTTCACAAAGCGTGCAATTTCAAACCCACTTAAGTCAGTGAGGATCATTTCAGTGACCTGCACAAGCTTTTTATCAGAATTTAAGACATTTATTCTTATGCACTGATACATATTAAAGATGTGATAGCCAGTCTTGGTTATTATATTAAAATTATTTTGAGTCTTCTGCTATTCCTTTCAAGTCAGTGACTTAACATCAGACTTCAGATTGCTTCAGTAATTGCCTGACATAGTTCGACACTATTTGATTCTGCCTATTTTTAACATCACTGTTTGGACAGTATTAACTGTACTTCATGCTTTTCCTCACTTTATTGCTATAGAGTCCCATTAAAAAAGTAAGTGTGAAAAAATAAATACATGAAAACTTACAAAGCTTGAATGAATAAAAGAAAGTTACCGAGTCATAGCCATCCAGTGGGTAAAATGGGTTGCTACTTTTAATATGTGTTTCTATGTATTTTTACTTTCAACTCTAAAGAAAGTTTCCTTTTGATCTATATCTTGCTCCTTTGCCTTCCCTGAAGTGCAAGCTTCTCAGGCAGATCTAGGAAATTCCTCAATGCGAACACTCTGTTTTTGTTTTGAAAACCAGCATTTTTCCTTACCTGCTAGTCATAGGTCAGGTGAGGAGAAAATACTTCTCCAGTATACGTTAACTGTTTTATTAAAAACTACTCAGTGTGCTTAAGGGTTGCCACCTAACACATGAAGCTCAATATAAGTTTATCCATTCAGGCTTTACCGGTTACGTAGCTCTTGAGGCTTAGAGGGGGTGTATCCATCACAGTGCCTGAGGAGAGCAGTTCTGCACGTTCCGTCACTTTGCTTGACTGTAGTAATGGCCAGATCAAACAGCAGCGTTTAAAAGCACATTCTCATGTGTGTTTGGTACATCTCCTTCCTTTGGAAGATAAGACGACAAAACTGTTTGATCTTTTAAAAGTTACGTTTTAATGGAATGGAAGAGTTGTTTCAATTGTTTAATGTTACTTTTGCCCATCCATTTAGGATGGTAAGAGGAATGACTAGAAGTGCCTGAGAGCATTTAACTTTCTATTGCAAGTTGAAAAATGAGTCGTGAGATGAGAGAGCTAATGTATGCATATACGTAGACAGGTACAGTAAAGGCTTTGTTGTATTTTGTAACTTAATAAGTCATTTTACAATTTAATTCCTTTTATATTTTTTTAGACTATTTAATATATCCTGCCAAGAAAACATATGGATTATTAATTGTGTTGCAACATTACTTGTAAGGTGTTTGCCTATATACAAAAGACAATTATCACAGTTTGTGAGAATCATAGAATGCTTTGGGTTGGAAGGGACCTTGAGAGATCATCGAGCCCAACCCCCCTGCAGTGAGCAGGGATTGAACCTGTGAACTTGGCGTTATTAGTGCCGTGTTCAAACCAACTGAGCTAACCCGGCTGGTCTAGAGAAGTTTGTCTCTTCATAAATTCTAATGCAAAGAATGCATTCAGGATAAATGTAAGATGTCCTGATGTAATTGTTTTAAGTTCTTACTCTAATTTCTTTTTAAACCCTAAAAATAATGAACTTTTTTCTTATTACAGAAACCTTTGAAATGCTCATCAGACTGGCTGAGAATTACACAAGCACACTTTTCTGCAATGCATATAGAAACATGGCTGCTGAGGCTACTACACGTGTCCAGGAGTTTTTCACAGATGTTGGACTCTTCATATTTGGCACAGACGTCAGCACAGAGGAATCTGTGAACAGATTTTTTGACACCCTGTTCCCAGTAGTCTACACCCATGTGATTAACCCTGGTCTGACTGACATTTCACTGGAATATGCGGAATGCCTCCGCATGGTGAGAAGAGACATCAGGCCCTTTGGTAACATTCCCAAAAAGGCCATAGGACAAATGGGAAGATCACTGTTACCCAGCCGGGCTTTCTTGCAGGCTCTGAATTTGGGGATTGAAGTGATCAATACAACAGATCATCTGCATTTCTCGAAAGACTGTAGCAGAGCTTTACTGAGAATGCAGTACTGCCCCCACTGCCAAGGGCTGACTTTAAGTAAGCCCTGTATGGGCTACTGCCTCAACGTCATCCGTGGCTGCTTAGCTAACATGGCAGAAGTTGATCTTCATTGGCGAGGGTATATTCAGTCCCTGGAGGAGCTCTCGAGTGCTATGAGTGGGACACACGACATTGAGCACGTGCTTCTGAACTTTCATTCACTTGTTAATGATGCTCTCGTACAGGCTCGTATCAATGGACCAGAATTATCTGAGCAGGTAAGGCACTGTTTTTATCCATGGTCAGTGCAAACATGACACTAAGAAAAGTAACACGGATAACTAATACTTGTTTGGCCATTTTTATGGTGATGAACACATTTGTATCCAAGTTCAGCTTTGGTCGACAATGCATTTTTCCAGCACTGCCAGTTTTTATTTTAATCATGTACTTGACCTGCTAATTTCCCATATTCTATTCACAAGTTTAACATCAAGTGGATTTTATCTTTTCTCATTTCCCATGAAACCACAGCTTTTTTCAAAATTCCTCTGAGTGAAAATTTTTGTTGCACAATCCAATGGAAACTTCTATTTCCTCACCCTTTTTATTTAAAATTTAACATTTTCAGTAGATGCACTGAATAGCTTTAGGTTTAACTGTACAACTGCATCTTTTAAGTTCTACTGAACAAGGGTGAACAGTGGAATGTGTCATTAGGTTTGGAAGCTTAAAATATTAATGAGAGGAAAGTAAATTATCTGGTGAAAAACTAATTCCACAAATATTCTATAAAACCAGAATTGAATACTAATCTGACATTTGTGTAAATGAGAGTGTTAAATCTCAGCAATAATACTTGTTTGCAGATTGGAAACTTGTTATACGACATACTGTGAATAATTTTAAGGAGCACAAAAAATATTTTGCATGAACATGAGTAAACTGTTTAATCACTTCATTGTTATCTTATATGCACATAAGGATAAATTTTGACAATCCTTTTAGATATCAGTGGCCTATCTTAAAGAACCTATGACTTTGCATATATTATTTTCATAATTTTGTAGGTTACAGAGAAAGTAGCACAGTGCATTTGTACCATGAACTAAATCCTTCCTTACATATACTTAAGAGAAAAAGCAAGTTGTGTGAGAGCTATGTTAGCTGTGAATGCATGAAATGAAGAATTTTAAGATACCACTAAGGAAAATATACATTATTTAGCTACACATTAGAAAGGAAGTTAGTATATCTGCAAATTTATGTAAGTGATGTAAGTAGCAAAACTTTAACTCTTCCTGTTTTATATTTAAGCCATGCTACATTTTGTAATTATATTTTTCTCTGTATTCTTCAATGCAGACTTCACTGACAGTGACATGTTCTGTGTTTAAAGCTGGGTTGAATATCTTGATCTGGGGAGCTGCCTTTAGTTTTACAGGGTGCACAGATCTGTTTGTGCCTGGGTGTCACTGTGGTGTGGCATCAGCTGAGGTACAGTAATACTTGTAGGACTACTACATCCTGCCTCTTTACGTGACTAGCTGAAGTTGAAGCAGCGTCTTCTGCTAAGCAGCTGATCTGACCTCTGACAATAAACAACTTGACCTAATATAATAAATAGAGGATTCTTCAGTTCTTACTAAGACCCGCAGTCTATTAAAATGGGTTCTCCATTCTGCTTGCAGCCAGTAACAGGGAAATTGCCCATTTTATGAATTTCCCATTTTAACTGCCTTATACCAGCCAGCTACGTTACCCAGAATCTCTCGCTGCTGAACTTCCTTGAGAAAAATTGATTTTTTTTCTAAAGGTTTTTCACTAACAGTATGGTTCAAAAGTGGCTTACCGATGTCTGTCTAATTCCTAATATGTTTCAGAGCTACAATTGCCTGTTAGGGATATTCCCTGTTCCTCCTCAGATTTTGGGTGGATCTTTTTTGCCTACAATTTTCAGGAACAAGCTAGAATAAGAAAGTAAAACCTCAAGGGAAGGCCTACTTTTTCCTGTTTCATCCTGGGGCATTTAGTTTGAAAAGTTTTAGACTTGGATTTTCAGCAGTGAACTGGTATTGGCCCAGACTTTTTAAAAGTCTCTCAGCACACTCATGTTTTCAAAATGAAAGTTTTTACTCTCCAAAATAGTACATTTCACTCAACTTTAGTAAAAAATGAAATGGGTGAAGAGTCCTCCACCCAGTCTTTTTTGAGATTGATCCAAAATAAAATGCTTTATTTTGATATTCCTGAAAAATCTATGCCTTTCTTCTCCCCTTCTCACATATGATGTAAGGAATACTGAAATTTCTTATGTAATGATATTTTGTGCCAATGTGTTCATTTGAAGATCAAATGTTTACTTCTGTCATATTAAGATCTCCTCATATAGAATCACTTCCAAACTTTAAAAACTAAATATTTCATTTTTCATTCAATCTGCATCAGACCTATGCATTTAGACATATCTTTCACTTAATCTCTATGTTAAAACTGAGCAGTTCTTTCTCTCTTTGATTATAATTTGGTCAGATACAACTATGATGCATTGATCCCTTTAAACATGGTGATCTAGTGAGTCCTGATTTGCTGAGTATGGCTTAAGTACATTTTATATTTGGCCATACATTAGTTATCAAGACCTAATTCTGACATGTAATAAATACTGTCTTTCAGCTTTAAGAGGCAGAGGATAGGAATTCTGTTGAAATTGGCTCATTAATATTTATTTATTTTATCTTCAGAGTGACTCGTGAACTGTTTCAAATTTTGATAAGCAATTAATGCATCAGTGATTCTAACAGACACAGAAAAGATGATTATGAGCGAGCTAATAATGGCTCACTTAGGCACGCAGCAGTGTCTGCAGTTTTAAAAGTGAATTTCATCACAGTTGATAGTTTTATGAGTTTTAAAGAAGCAGACAGAGAAAAAAATCCTTAAATGTTTGGAAGTATGTTATATATATATGCAGCTGTTAATATGAGAATCAACAGAGTATTCTTCTTAGTGATATATGTATTTGTACAGCTCTTTATCTAATCATGTGTATGTTTGTGTAAATATATGTAGAGGATTTTTTTCTAACATGTTGCATGGATAGCTATATTTAAATCTAATGTATATTCATACTTCAAACTCTGTGTGGTGTGGAAGGACCACTAATGCCTATGTAATATGGCTTGCTTTTACAAAACTCTTTTTTCCAGTAATTTACAACTTGGTCCCTTTTCTGCTTGGGTCAGCAGAGCAGTGCCACGCTGTCTCCATCTGGAA